TCCTGCCTGTGTGGAGTGGGGGCTGCCCAAACTCCTGGTTCTGGGAAAGAAAGTGCCAATGACTTTAAATTAAACCTTCCTTTGGAAGAAGTCACTGAGGGCAGGTTGCATTTGGGGTTGTATAAATCCCACCTGGTGTTTCTTCAATGAGAATTTTGATGTAATCAACACATAGGCAGTTGAATCTGAATTGTGGGTTTTGGATATATGCCTGTTTGCTTATCTGTAGTAATTTATTTTGGCTTCAGTCTGTAAGTGGGATAGCGTTTTGTTTTTTTTTTTTTGAAAAGGTATCATTGTAAGGCTGTTTATAAATTTGACCAGTGCTCAATTAGGGCACCGGTCAAATGTGGCGACTTTCTTATGAAATAATGTCTCTCCCCCATCCCTTCTTTGTAACAGCATTTGCAATATCAAGAAGAACAAGCCGGCTCTAAGTTACTGGGAGGTGGAAGGAACATAGAAGACAGCTTTAGTTAAGTTTCCATTTATATAGCTGTGACCCATTAGGCTCTCAGTCTGCATTTTATCTTTAGGTTGTTGGTTCGCTTCCAAAAACTCTGGCTTGTTCTTTCCTTTCCAAGGATAGTTCTGTTTTGATGTCAGCCTAACCAGAGCTGGGGGTATCTTGATAGAGCTCAATGAAAACGTAACCTTCAGACGTATTAGGACACCTTGGCATTGGCGTTGTCTCCTAGAGGGCAGAGTCCTGGCGTCCTACACAAGTAGCAGAGGATAAGAATGGTTCTGGAAATGGACTCAAGGTTTGTCTTGTAGGAAGGAGGGACTGCTGAGGACCAAAGGCTATGCTCTCTCTTACACTGCAGCACTGGCGGCGGCAGCTCGGTATCTGTGGCAGATTCTCTCTTCATTTTCCCCCTTCAATTCCTTAAAAAATAAAATTAGAAAACTTGAAAGATTTGTCATTCACCTCTAAGGTAGTTTTGTGTTGAAAGGTGACTTTAAAAAACATACGTGACACCGGCATTTATCCTTCTGCTCAAAGCATGTGGAAATCACTAGAAGTAGGTGAATTATCCAGTCGGGGCTGAAACAAAGGCCAAGGCTTTGGAAAGATCAGATTTGTAATGGTGTTAGGATCGAGGTATTTTGACAAGTAATTTTTCTGTCAGCAATAATGCAGGGTGTGTGCTGTGTTCCTATGAGAAGAAAAACCACGTGATGGGCTAATAAGGAGTATAATAATGCAAGAGAAACAAAGGGTGTGGTGTATTTTTTTTTTTTAATAGAAAAAATAAATACCTCACACACAAAATTCCACATGGGAAAGAAAACAGCTGCCTGCACATGTAAATGCACGTCCAGGAACAGAGATGGCCATGGTGCAGTGTTAGGTTTCACTGTGGCTTTACACTGTGTACAACAATACATCATAATCAAATGTCGTATTGATGTTCAATTTTTTTTTTTTTTTTTTTTTTTTTTTTTTAGGTGGAAGTTCCCCACCCCCAGATGTCTGCAGTAGTGCATTTCGCTTTAGGTTGGGGGAGCCCTAGAGGTTATTAGAACAACCTTTGCCTCTGGTGCTCCTTTTACAACATTCATTTAATTCATTCAGCAGATGTTTATCGTGCACCTGACACATACTGGGCTTTGTTATCAGGGCCAAGGAGTGAGGGGTGTGGAGACACAAAAATGAACCACCTTCAGGGAGCTTACAGGGTGATGGAGAAATGATGGCCTGATTCTAATTAAGTTCAGTGGAAGCTAGGGAGGGAGAGAGTAACAAAGAGTATGATATTGGACTGCTGAGGAGGAAGCATGTGATCATTCAGCCTTTACTTGAATGCCTCATTCACTGGGGAGCTCACTACTTTGTAAATGACTGGACCTGTTGTTAGAAGGTGACCTTTTCTTCATAGTCTTTAAACTCTTCAGCTGAATTCCACATAAATGGTTAGATTTCACCATTATTAAAAGGTCATTCTGTTTTCATCCCTTACTCCCTCAGAGTTGTTTGAACCTGTCTATCATGTTGGCACCCTCGACCTTTCAAAGTACTGTTTAGACCCTGTCGCACTTGAATTTTGAAACAAATTCTGCTTTTCTCTATGGCCTGATTTAGAAAACAGATGTGGGGTGGGAGGACTCTGTGCGTTCTTTTTTTTTAAACAGTGATGTATCAGCAAGATAGGTTAGGTTATTCTGCAGTAACAGCCTCTGAATCTCAGTGGCTGAGTACAATTTCTTTCTTTCCCGTACTGTGTGTCAGGCAGAGTCAGCAGGTGGGGTCTGCTCTTCGTAGTCCCTCAAGGACCCTAATTGATGGAGCTGTGATCTTCAGTGTGCTTGCAACATCAGTGAAGCACTGGAAGGGAAACTAGAGGGCCTTGCTCTAGTAATGACGTGATCTAACCCAGAAGTGACTGACATGGCTTTGGCCAGAACTAGTCCTGTGACCCCATTTAGCTACAAGTCAACATTTCTTATACTGAAAAGGGGGAACTGGGTACAGGTAAGCAGCACCGATGACTTCCACAAGTGATGTGGCTTAGACGAGGTTATAAGGTGTGTTCCTCTTTGGCCTAGCTCAGTGCTTCGTAGGATAATGGGGTATTACAGCAGTATTGACTGACTGAATGAATGGTAACTATCTTACAGAATCTGGCCCCACCCCAACCTGTTCCTTACTCATATGTTGGTATTATATTTACTAATATGATTGTATACTAGTCATCAAATAAAAAAAAAATGATAATTTTCTCTCTTTTTGCCTGTCTTGAGTAGTCGTTTATTCTGAAGTGCTGGGCCAGGAGATATTCCCAAGGCTGGTTTTAGGAGGTTCGTGCTTAGTATTATGTAATAGAGAGGTGGTACTTACAGACGTTCTCTTTCTCACCATTTGCCTCTTGTTTAAGACTTCCTGAGTTTGTTTGGAACAGCCCAGGGTAGAAAAAGAGTAGCGGGGGGCCCAGCCTCACCCAGGGGGTGGCCTCTGCCCAGCAAAGACTGCGAGGCAACAGATAGGATCTCGCAAAGGCAGGGAGTATGTGTAGGGTAGCTTCGCGTTACCTTCGTCTTTCTTTGACGTTTTTAGAAAGAGCAATTTGGATGAGAAGCCTTTTCTGGTCACAGGACTAATAGACTACCCGGAGAGTTCTGGGGCATGCGTACTCACATTAGCAACCATGGTAACCATGATGGTACGATTTCAAGCCTTCCTTGCCACACTCTCCCTAAAAATAGCTGTGAACTAGGCATTGCAAAGGGCTGTGGATTAAGCAGTTGGTGGCTCATGCAGAGATTTTGCTATGGGAAGTGCTGGTCACTCACATCTTTGCTCATGTTGTGATAAATGCATGCATAGGTCAGAATTTTTAGGATTTGATGAGTACTTTTCGCCAAAGCATGGAATTTAACAAAGTAGTATTGCTCTGGCTCAGTCATCACTTTGTTAAAATCATCTTTATAAAGACAGCTTTCCATAGACAGGTGACATGGTAAACGGACGGTTAGCCCCTGAGTCACAGTGGCTAAAGGACATGAGTGTTGGCCCAAGAATGCAGAGGCCTCCCTCTGGTCCAGCTTCCATCGAGGGACAAAATATCACACTCAAAAAGCTTCTAAAGTGAGAGATGAGCAGCCAAGATACCAGCAAAGAGAACCAGAGAGAACCCGTCCCTGACCTCCAAGAACCAGGGCAGGGTGCCCGGGCTGGGCCGGGAGCAGGGCACAGACCGAGAGGGGGAATGAAGTCCTCGGGGACTAGTTTTGAAACACATTTGGGAAGCTCCAAAATACATTTCTAGATCCCGTTTGGCCTCTGATTCCCCACCACTTTGATTTCATAATGAAGCCGGCCGGCTAGGCGGGCAGCCCTTGTGCGGGGAATGGGGTCCCCGGCACCAGCGTGGCAGCGACGTGGAAGCCGGAAGGAGGGGGCGGGCGTTGCTTTTCCTGCTCCTTCGCGGCTTTGCGTGAGCTGCAGCGGGCGTTCCGGGAGTCTGCCTCGATGATGGAAATCACCACTTGGATAAAATAAGTACTCATTTTTATGTTGAAGGATTTTCTACTTCTAGTTGACTTACTGTCGTAAGATTTAAAGAGGAATGTCTCAAATTGTGTATATGTGACTTGCATTTCCTTTGAGTGGTTCTTGAGGCTGGGTGATTTCCTGGTCTAGCTGCCGAAGCCAGAGTACATTCTTTGTCCCTTAGTGGAGGCTGCTTGTGCTCTGCTGGGAGTGGAGAGGTTGAGTAGGAAAAGACGCCTTATTCGTTACTTGATCTGTTAATCCCTGCAGAGATTAAACTCAATGCAAACATCCTGCATGATAATACTTAGTCTAACATCACGTGGGCTTCCTGGGGTATCAGACCTTCATGCATATAGGACTGATGAAATGCAGATGTGCCACTGGTTGAGGCCAAGTCCCCAGGAAGTGGAATCTGCAGATGCTGTATTCTGTGCTTCTGTTTTCCCTAGATTCTTCTCTTTTATCCTACCAAGGGAATGCAATTTTTCTGGCTTAGTTCCCATTTATAAATCCAGATAATCACACCTGATGCACTCCTCACTGCGGTGCTATAAGAATTGATGAGGTTTTGGTAGAAGCTTTAACAGGTACTGTGGAAATAAGGAGCATTATTATCAATATCGGTATTCTGTTTATTAACAGATTAACTGGCCCTCCTTAGTTCCCATATTTCTCTTAATTTCTGTCCCACTGCCACATCCTAGCCCAGAGCCTTATTTTGCTTTAGGCTGTTAGGGTGGTTACCTTCACTTGGCTTTCCCACCCCCAATCCATATTACAAAATACCCTTACCTTTAAGACAGTAGGCTGTTCTAATTGTTTGTTCTCTTGCTTAACAACCTTCAGTAGCTCCTGTTTTTTGGGGGAGGGATATTGGGTAGGGGATGAAGTTCATATTGTTTAGTCTTTAAA